GATTAGAAAATATGAGTCATTAGGGAGACATCTGTCACCAGGCTGCGGCTGTCCCTTCTGATTTGGTCAGGAGCGCAGTGACGGCTTCCGAACAAGCTGTAATGACCCAGGCCTTTTAGTCAGAACGTCCATCCTGACGCCTGGACACCGCCTGTCTCTGGAGTCCCAGGCTTCTCAGAGATCAAGGCGCCTCGCGCTGATCTGATCATTCCCTGGCGAGATGAAAGAGTGACTAGCAGCGCTGGGCTGGCACAGGCGCAGTTGGGCCCGAGATGCGCATTTCATCACCCAGAGGGGATGTGGGCCAGGGTCCAGAATTCCTTAGAAGAACATGCTGTTTGTGGGTTTGGGGGTGGGGCAAAGGGCTCCTATTTTGACATCAGAAGGAGCCCACGCTCAGGGAGCAGGCCATAGTGACTGTTAGGATGGGCAGGGCTGGGGCTCTCAGGATCTTGGTGAAGAGGGGCGTCTCCCGCTGTGCCTCTTTGTTTTGAGAGCCTGGTCGGCCAGTTGAGATGAGATGGCGCTAGGGAGACTGACTCTCAGAGAATCTGGAATAGATCTGGACAGACATGCGGGGATGGGCAGGGAGACGCAGAGAGAAAGGAGGAGAGAGAGGAGAAAAAATAATGCTAGAAACGAACGTGTCATTGGGAGATGCCTGACTGCTGTTCGTTTAGCAGAAAGAGGAGGGAGAAGAAAGGGAGGAAGAAGGGAAAGGAGGAGAAGAGCAATAAGAGAAAGAAAAGAGGGAAAGGGACAGAAGAGAAAACCAGACAGAGACAGAACAGGTGGCACAGAGACAGGAAAAGAGGGGCAGGGAGGAAGTAAAGGAGGAGAGACAGCGAGGGGAGGGGGTGGGAATGAAGTGGAGAGAGCAGAGGACATGCCAAGGGGAACTGACACACCAGACAGAGACAGAGAGCAAGGCATGGGACACCTGCAGGGTCCCGCAGATGGGGACACCCTGCATGTGCATGACCGCAGAGTCACGGTGCTGCTGCTGCTGGGAATTGAGGCTGGCTAGAGGCAAGGGGCTGGGACAACGTCTTCGTTTGTTTCTTTATTTTACCTATCTTAGTCAGCTAAACCCTGAGCTCTCCGAGAGATAGAGAGCGAAGTTTCTCCCTCTGCCAATGCTTGCTCCCCGAAGAGTCATTAGAATAACAACAACAATAACCACACAGCTCACAAGGTCATCAGGTCTGTGTGAGAATTCTGGGGAGCCAAGTGCGGATTATTGAAAACCCGTCTCCCTTGACTTGCACAGGCCCCAGGGACGGCGCTTCTCCTGCAGGATCAAAGGCTGCAAGTAATTAGTGAGCCTTTTCTTCCCAGAGAGTTCCCGTGACAACACTCAACCTGTCAGGGAAGCTACCCCTGCCTTCCAGGCTCAGAAGCAGCACCAGGGGAGGAGGAGGTGGAGGGCGAGGAAGGAGGAGGAGAAAAGAGAGGTCCAGTCAGGGCCTGGCTGAGAAAGGAGCTCTCCAAGCAACTCTGGTTCCAGCAGGAAGGAATGTGTATGAGTCAGACCAGGGAGACGTGTGTGACTCACATGTACACGCACACACACACGCACACACGCACACTTTGCTTCAAGGCCACTGCCCAGTCAGCAGAGCTCAACCTGCAAGTGCTAAAACTCTTTGGCTACCTGCCCTAGAAGACCTCGGCACAGTTTTTTTTTTTTTTTTTTTTTTTTGGAGAGGTTTTTGCTATAGGGCGCATACGCTCTCCAGAAAGACAGAGACAGAGAGATAGAAAGTGAGAAATCACCCCCCAGGGGGAATGGCCATGCTGCAATCCCTTCCCCTCCATTCTCCCCTCAGGATTTTGGGCACGCATGCACATGTGCCCTGTGTGAGTTTAAGCCACTGGGTCTGGGGCACGAACCACGGTCAACTACATGGGAGTTCAGTGACATAGCCTTTATGCCAACTGCTGGTCCCAGGCATGGTCTTTTCTGAGGGGCTCACAAAGTAGAACTCAGCCATGGCGGCTCTCTGTGGCTCCTGACTGCCAGCACCTGTCCCACCATCTGGGAAGGCCTCTGCAGGTCTCTGGGTAACTGCTCTTCCAAGTCCTCACGCTTGCACTCTGGGGTCCACGGTGGCCCATGCTCCGGGCACCATCTCCCTCCCTGCTCTTCTGCTTGGTTCAGAGACAAGGGTACAAGTTGGCTCGGGGACCCAAACCTGGCTTTGGGCTGGCTCCTAGTTGGGGAGGAGAAGGTCTACTTCTGCTGTAGGATCGAGGATTGGAGATGACAGTATCCTCTTCCCTCTACAGACATGCAAATATGGCTGAGGATGAAGACAACCAGGGGAGAACAGCACCAAGAGACGGAGGGAGAGGAGGGTCGAGCACCTGATTCTGCCAGTCTAGTTGAGACCACTCCCGGGGCCTTTGCAATCAGGTGGGTGAACCTGTGCATTCTTTGGCTTAAGTAACTGGCCACTGGACCTGAGCTCTCATGGCTCAAATCCTGGCCTTCATGTCCCTTAAACTCTTGGCTCTCACCAGGAGCCCCTGCCTTTCCAGGCTGGGCTCTGCCCCTTCACTCAGCTGCTGAGGCTGCTTCCTGTGGTATCTTTCTGTACCTCAGGCACCACACAGGCTTCCCTTCCCTCCTCCATGGCTAGCGGCCAAGTGAGGTGGCCAGCCACATCTGGTTGACCAGCAGGCTCATGACTCATGCTGGGAATGTGAGCCCTCAGTGGAGTGACAGAGGGATGGAAAATGGCTGGCTTGGCTCACGTTCTCTGTGGGACCTGGAAGAGCCAGCCTGTGGCCTAGAGGCCTGGGGATGCCTCCATCCGCTCCTGCGCTATCTTAGCTGGCTCTCAATAGTCCCGTCCTGTAAATTAGCCACAGTCTTTCAGCAAACTTGCCCTTGGCTAAGCAGAACTGGTCTTAATTAAAGGCCTCAGGGTGACCCACCCCTCCCTTGTCTGTCCCTTCTTAGTGGGATGCCTGTCTAGGTCCCTCCCCGTCACATTCACCATTTCATGCCTGGCAACATTCCTAGGGTGACAGCAATGGCTGATTCCCAGGCTAAGCAACACCAGCCACATTTAAATTCATCTTATCCCCTGTCCCCCACTTCCCTTTTCTCCCCCTTATTGTGGAAATACAAAACAACAGTCAAGCTCCTCTAAAAACATCCTAAATTTGTCAAACTACTTCGTAGTCTGTTAAGCTACAGGTTTTCCCGTCTAAGTACTTAAGAACATCTTTCTCTTTGATGTTTAAATTGCATGTTTCTTTTGCCAGCTACCCAGCAAGGGAAGTGAGGGAGAGAGAGGACGGCTACTTCAGACTGTTACAAGATGTACTATTGTTTCACACCGTTCTCTAGTTCATCTGGCATTTCAGAAAGTTTAGCTGCAAAATTAAATCTGCTTTTGGAATTGGAAGATAACTTTGACTATTTTTGCCAGTTGGCTCTAGGGGAAAGTGGCTGATTTGGAGATGATGCCCTTTTTCCAGGGGTTTCGAATCAGGAAAATAAGACACATGTTTGTTATAAGTATGTCTAATAGTTGATTATTTGGACCGCGTATGAGAAAAAGATGAGAGTTTCGAAGAGAAAGATTAATAGCGCTCTTTTGCCGAGACCAGCACACACTCGGACCTGCATGCTGATGTACTGGGCTGCTGGGGAAGTCATGGCCCATTTCTGCATAGAAACCCAGAAAGATGCGCCGTGATTTCTGACGCCCTAACACATTCACTACGGAAGAG